AATTTTGATGTTAAGTTAAGAGCAGAGTTAGATAGGCTTCAAGATACACAAGAAAGGTATTCACAATTACAAACACAAAAATCTATACAACCATTAAAACATCAGCCACAAGAATGTATTACTGAATTTAAAACCGAGATCAAAGAAACACCTGTTATAAAAACAGATGAAGAGGGAGAGGCAATTAATTCTTTGCTATGTGAGGAAGAAATACCAGGTTCACCAGCACCTATTACTGAAAATATAGAACAAATAAACGCTGGTCCATCCTGTTCACCTCCAAAAGTTGAAACTACAGAAAATAGTATAGTATTAATGGAAATGCCATTTGCAAGTGCTCCTACATCTGGTCAGAGTACAACCAGCAGTACTGTTGCCACTCTGAGTATGGCATTGCCAAAAACTGTAGAAACACCTATCCCAGTTTCTTTATCTATGCAACAAAATTCTACTCTGGGTATGAGACAACAACAGTCTCATCATCAACATTTACCTGCACTAATGCCTGCACAGAGGAGAGAAAGCAATGAAGCAGCACCTGTAATGGATAATACACCTCCAACTACACCTGATTCAAGCATTTCCAATATCTCTGGATCCCCAAGAGAAGAAAGAACAGGTGGTTCATCACCAACTTCGGAGGATAATATGAAACATAATCGTGATAGTTCTGAAGCAGACAATGATAGTGGTGGGAAAGGTCCAGGATTCAGTGAAGATGACACATTACCAAATGTTGAAGGAAATTCTGCAGATAGAATATTAAAACCACCAGCAAAGCGATCCATTGAAGAAACACAATCGCCTAAAAAACGTAAGAGAAGTAGGAAGCATTCAGAATGTGATAAAAATACCACCAAAAAAGCGGGAAGACATAGTAATAGACATGGTAGACATGGTGGTGGGAGCGATAGCGATGACACAAGTGAAGGTTCTAATTTATGTGGAATTAATACAACTTCAGCAAATCACACGAATATCACTAGTGTTCCTGATCTTAGTAATTACTCATCGAGATCACCTCGACCGACGAAATATAATTTTTATGTGGAATTAGGTAAAGGATTAGTTTTCTTCCTTAATTTTAATGTCTTACCTATAAAAAGAAAATGTTAACCTTTTGTGTTTAACATAGATCCTGAACTGGATGGCAGTCAAAGGATAGCTGTACTACAGCAAAAATTAGCTGAGTTACGTAAAACATATAATGCTGTGAAAGTTGAACTTGCCGCTATTGAAAGACGCAGAAAAAAGTTAAGAAGAAGAGAACGAGAAGGTAAATATTTTATGAATAATTAATGTTTTTATGAATAAAGTATCAGAGAAATTTTTATATGAAATTTGTTTTATATATAAAAAATGTATTCATTTTGAGTTTAGCCATAAAGGCAGCTAAAGCAGAAATGCAACAGGCCTGTTCGTGATGAGCTGCCTTGAAACATCCTAATTATCTTAACCTGCGCTAAAGAGATTTTTATACAACACCGGGAGATAATAGGATAGTATCACTATATGGACATCCTGCAATTATAGCAGATTTCATGACAATTTTTACCTACCTAATATCGTTTAGGTAAATTTTCCCCCATTAATATAAATTGTAGATATAGATATAAGATTTAGTATAAATGAGGAACACTTACCAGAATGAAGATATATATTCATATATGCTTTGTGTTGTACATTGTTTTGTCAAGAACATAACGTAACAGTTGAAAATTTTTATCCTCAATTTGTCATTTCACCTGCTCAGATGCAAAGTACAAATTATCGAACTTGATGATCATTTCATCGTTCATTCTTCTTTTTTAAGAAAAGGCTGAGAAAAATGTTACCGGTAGTGTGTTATTGTAAAGACATCTTGGGAACAAATAATTGTCTAAGCCGTCTGTCATTTTCGTTTCGAGTATAGCTTATAACACCGTTGGCGGTTGAGCTGTTTTCAAGACGATAAAATAAAGATGTCAAGTGCAACAACCATCACATATTTCCTAGAATAGAAAATTTTGTATATATTAGAAGTAGTAATGTTATAGTAGTTCGCAATATACGTATATACGTAAATAGAATTTTAGCGTCTTTGCGATCGAAATTTTTTATTTAAAAAATAAAAGGAAATGTTGCAATGTGGTTCATAAAGTAGTAAGAAGTTAATCATATTCAAAGCAATGTTCATTTGTACGTAAACAACTTGTGAAATGAACGGATGATTGTATATTGATATGCATGTGAGATATAGCACAATTTTTAACATCCAAAAAGTGAATTACTTTAATTTATGTATATAATTTACGTAAATAGAATATCATATTATAATTATTCTAAAATACGAAGCATTCAAGTTTATTCGTATTTCATACCAAATTTCTTGACAAAGTGCATAGAATTGGATTTTCAACTATGCAATTGTCATGAATGCAGCTCAACGTTTATCAATTTACAGCCTTTTGCATTATATTTGTAAAATTGCTGCCATTGTGCTTTAATCATCAGATAGGTATTAGACGTTCGTCGTCGTGTATATCGTAATTGGTCAAAGATGCATTTATATTTCTATTTGAGCGTCGAAGTACCTCAGGTACTAAATTAAAAGGAAACAAAAAAAATTAAACTTAAGAAACAAGTTGCAGAAAACAAAATCAAATACCCCTGAGTGGAATTAAATTTGTACGAAGACATGTTGGCTGATAAAAAGAATGAAATTTTATATAGATATATATTATATATTTTTTATAAAAAAATCAGTCGCGGACATGCTTTATGGTATCAGACAACATGATCATACATTGATTGGGGGAAAAATGAAAGAAAATAAGGAGTTGGGCTCCATAAATCTTTGTACATATTTTACATTGTGTGTGTTGAAAACACTCATAAGTCAGGTTTTAGTAGTTTATCGCACACAGATATAGCTACGCATATTATTGTATAATGGTTTCAGAAATCTTGCAGTAGCACATACTAAATGTTTGTTTTAAGAAGTCAAGAGAATGTGTATCGACACTCAATCAAGTAATACTTACAATCAATTAATACCTACAAAAATATTTACGTTTCATCAAATTGTATTAAAAGAAAGAATATTTTATTTAAAATATTCTTTATATTTTGTTGTTTATATTATTGTTGATTCCAGCAAAACTATGTAAAAACATTTTATTTTGAAAGTAATTTCCATTATTATAATTAACAATGAAAATAGTTTAAGGTATTTAAATATAAAAGCATTGTAAAACATACGTAGAAATATATATACATATTGTACAATTCAGTTTAATAAACTGCAGTATAATTGATAGTAAAATTGTAAACAGTAATATTAAAACGTTAATATCAATAATATTGTTATTTCTTTTGGTTGCATACAGCTCTTGCATAAAGCTCTGCTTAGATATTATATATTTTTAGTATGCACATGGTTTAAAATAAATATTCAAATTCTACTTCTGTTTTGCAAAATAGTAAAGATAAAATATCTAGAAATATAGAATATACTATTAGATAAATGGACCTCTATTTATTTGGAGGGTAAGTAAGATAATAAATGCATCCTAAACAGATTTTATATAGGTGCACCCGTTATTTTATTATGATTTATCTTTACCTTTATTACTATAATTTATTATTTGCAATTTACATTTAGGCAGTAATATTTATAGGAAAACACTATTATACAGGTCATCAGTCATTAATTTGAGAATATTGGCTACATTTATAGGTAAAATATTATATACACATATTGATCACAGATATAACAAATTTATATTGTCTTTTCTTATGCAGTGATAATGATATATTAAATAAAAAGGTAAAATAAAGTAAAATTTTTCAAATAACGTTAAAATATTTAAGGTTTTACAATAATGTTTGAGTGACGAACACAACCTTGTCTTCCAAAAACAAATTTTCTCTTTGTAAATGATGAATTACATGTCAAATAATACATATAGTAAGCACAATATGGATTGTGTCGCCAACCAATAATATTGTTCCACATAACATTTAATTGTGTTAGCAAATGTTGTTAAGAAATAAATAATCTTAACAAATTATAGTAGTATCATTTATCCTTGTGTCATTTTTATAAAGATTTTTGGTTTTTATAATGTAAAATACTATAATCAAAGTTCTATATATTTAAAAATTTTTATAAATTATTTATTATATTGAAACTTAGAGGTAAACATTCAAATTTTGTTAAACTCTGTGGAATAATATATGTTAATATAATATAATTATGCAGATACTTTTGTCATTATACTTTGTACCATATTATTATATATAAAAGTTGACGTATTAAAACTATTGATATTTAATAGCAAAGGAAACATGATTGGTTTAATGTACATTAGTATTGACAATCTTGTATGTATCTAATACATAATATTATTAAAAACTTTGCCAACTAAATTTCTTATTTTTACATTCAATTATATAATATAACATCATTTAATATTCTAAGAAATCACTTTGACATATCTATCTATTTATCTTTGTACACCAGTAGTATAGATCTATTAAAGAAACAATATTATCCTAGAGTATTAAAAGATGTTTAAAAATTTCTATTAATAAAAACTATACAAGATACATCAAATAAAATATTAATTCAATAATTTGAACATTATTAAACATGCCTAAAAATATTCATTGGATATATCATTTACATAAACATATCTGTAACTTTATTATTGCTGATTACTAGTCAAGAAAAAAAAGTTCCAATTTTTTGAAAATGTGAAATACAAACAAATTATAATTATTCATATATTTTATATTACAGTATCAATAAAAAATATCTGTAATATCTGGTGTAAAAAATAAAAAAGTTTATACAGTAAATTAAATTTGCACATCACAAATATTTACCAACATATTTTAAGAAGAAAATATTTTATAAAATTTTTAAATCAATTGATCGATTATATATATATCTTTTCATTTAACAAAAAAAATTTGTTTCCCTAGTAATAAATTACTAAAATAACAATACAAATAAGATATACAGAAAATGTTTAATAATATTGAGCGAGAAATTCTGCTTTTAATTCTATATGTTAACATGGAGGTGGGCTAGATGTTGGTACAGTATCAGCAGTTTGTGTAGAGGTTGATGCAACTGTTGATGACTTATTCTGAGTAGTTAACCTTCGTTTGACTAAGAAAAATTGTTCCATTAGTTCATGATGAGCTTCAAGCCGTTCAATACAATGTAGACATGCCGTTTTAGGTAATGGATCATTCATGTTTACCTATATGACAAAAGGGTAAAAATTGTATTTTTCAAAACTAAATATAAAAAATACTCATTATATATACACATATAAATATTTAAATATATTATATTTTAAAATACTGAAAACATCATTTATGAAACTTTTAAAACATCACAATTAATTAATCTTTCTCTGATTTAATGTAGCTATAATATATATTTATATTTAGAAACATTTAATAAATTTGTAATAAACAAACTATTTTTATCATTATGTTATGTAATTTTACAATTTCTCAATTATTGTTGTATTTAAGGTAGAGCTGTCAAATACGATAAAAAATTCATATAAGAAAAACCATAAATGTAACTCAAATAAAGTGAAATCTTAACCAGTCATACACAGAATATATTGTAGTAGAAAGTATGAAAATTTTATTAAAAAATAATATCGATGAAAGCCTAATTTAAAAAAATACAAAGCAGATAATGATTTTTACCGTAATTGGAAGATAAGCATTTATTTTTTCAGCAAGTTTCATTCTCTCACCCTCTTCACCGTATATGTGGATCACGAAACGGTTCATCTTACTGCAAAGTCTGCATATAAAACCCGTGATCTCAGCTTTATCCGTGCTACCCATTTCAATTATTTATTAATATTTACTCTTGTTCGTATGGCACTTATCGACACCCTATAACCCAATACACACGTCAATATCTTCACACAAAGATTTATTCTATGAAATCGCACAAGATGTTATGCTCCTTTCAAGATTGTTTATCATACTTCTGGACAACTAGCGCTACCAGCACTGTATTCTTCTAGTATTCCCCTCCTCCTACTCCTCCTCCTGTACATACATATAATATACATATAATACATACATATAATATAGCTTATGAGTACATATGTATATCTTTTTTCTTGGTACATATTACCTGATATTACATACAAATTAGGCACACAATACAAATATATTTAATCAAATGAAAATGTATATGAATTATATCACAATTATAAGAAGGAATGTTTATGTTTGAAATTTATAACCAATATTTCATTATATTAGAATTAAGGATTGTACAATGAAAGTCTTAAAGGTTATAATTAAAGCAAAAGAATTAATAGAATTATTTTCTTAAATGATATTTTTGACATTAATTGTTCCCTAATACATTACAAGATTTAATTGGTATAATATAAACAAAAGAAAAATAATTTCATTTATTTCATTTTCACTCTATTTAAACAATTCAGAGTTATTGTTTGATAAACTTTAAAAAATGTATTATTAGCTCTTTAATATAATATTTGTTATTTGATATTATTACTTCATTTATTAATGTATTTATAGTATATTTATAGTAGTCATTATCAATAGTATTGTTATGTTATAAGTAAATTTCTAATTGTGATTTTTAATAAGATTTATGTATTTAGTAACGCTAATTATTGATGTTAATGTTTCAAAAACAAATATAAAATAAATTATATATTATCTTAAATAAATTTTTAAGTCCAAAATAATTAAAAAAATATGAGGTTAGAAAAAGATTGGGGCTAGACTTTTTCATTTTATACATCATTCGGTTAAATGAAAAAAATAATGTTTTATTTTTTATGTCTTATTAATGTTTAAAGTACTGATGGGATCATTTTAAATATCACATTATTTCAATAAAATATGGCGGCGATCAGCTGTCTTCTGTCATAATGACATTCATATTGTTAAGTAAAAGATTACAGTTTTCTAGGAATAATTTGGATAAAGATATTTGTGAACTTCGATAATAAAGTGAAGTAGTTTATCATTATTATATCATTTGTCTATAGGTATGAAAGATTTAAAAAAAAGTAGAGGAAGATATTTACTATTGCTCATCTGAAGTGAGCGGCAAGTGAACGCAGCTGCGTAAAAAAGCAATATGGTGACTAACGAATTAATCAAGTGTTGAGAGGATAATCAAGAATACAAATGTTTAATAATATTACCAACTTTTGCGATGGACGGTGGTGAAGTTGAGTGATGAACTTGACGTGATTAAAAGCCTTTTCAGAGGCTAAAGGAAGAAAACCATGTGCGATGTATGTGTTGACTTTCACGACCTTCTGCTCTCCTGTAAGCAAAATGTGTACTATACCTTTCATGTTAACCTAATGTATTATGCTGCATGTTGTAAATTTTGATTTCGTATCAACAACTAATGTTCTAGTATAAACAACCTAGTAACAAATTGTTGTAAAAAATCTACCAGATTCATAATTACACTTAACTTTTTCTATTATAAAAGTCCGTTTATAACATTATAATTTATAACCTTATTTGCCTATGTATGATTTTAAAATTTATCAACTTATGCACGAACACGCTTCAACGTTAAATATACAAAATAACAAAATATTAAAATATGTTTTATATTTTCAAAAGTCGTAATTAGTAGTAAAATTGTACGACACATTAAAGTAGATAAATGTTTGATATACAAGAAATAATGATAGTGGTACATTAATCTTATTTATATATATTTATAGCAATTTTATTTAAATTTTCGTATTGTTTATTGTTTGTTTATGATATATATCCAGATGATGAAAGATCATCGAAGGAACAAGATGGATTGGCAACACTTTGTATTTCGGATGTGGACACTACATTACATTATGTTAATCAATGGGTACAAAGGTCTGATTCCATTTTTGTTTTTTATAACATATAAACCAAACATTTGAATCGATATAAATACTTAATAAGATTGTTTTACTACTATTTTAATACAACTTGTTTTCTTTTATTTTTATAGACAATGCATGTGCTGCTATCGAGAAATAAAAAATTTTGATCGATTTATACGATTAACTCAAAGTGTTGTATTATGTACGTTACAACAATTACAAATTATACAACAGAATGGTCAACAAACAAATGTTGGGAAAGTATCACCCAAAGACGAAAAAGAAGAAGGAAAAACAGATGAAAATAAAGTAGAAAACTCAGATTTTACACAAATAGAAACAGAAACAAAACAAAATTGGTCTCAACAAGATAGAGAAAAATTGTATCATCTTCTTTCAAAAATATTTTTACTAAATTTTCCTCTTTACATTGCAATGAAACATGGTGGTGCAATTAATCCATTAGCTCCAATAAAAGTAATATATTAATATAAGAAGTATTGTTTTTTATCTATGCATTTATACATTATTTTTTATTATTTTAAAGGATGAAGGGGGATATTGCGAACCTCATGATCCAGAAGTGCCAGCTCCTTTAATTAGAGCAGTTTCCATATTTTGTCATCAAGGTGGTTTCAATTTAATGTCTGCTTGTTTTGATATGGAAAATACATTACCTGTTAGTCTTGCACATTCAATGGTTGTAGTGATTTGTAACTTAAAGCTTTGGTTGAATTATGGTAGTGTTATTCAGCTCTTTATACCATTACGCAGTCGTGTTATGAAATATATGTGTCGCTTAGCAGATAAAGAATTACGCACACCAGCAGTTAGAACGATGGCAGGTAAATTTTGGAATAAATAAGATTATAATAATTTAAGGCGTGTATTCTCGAGTTTGAATTAATAACCTTCTATATTTAGATTTCATGTGGAGCGCTGTAAAGGATCCTATTGACGCTGTTTTACCAAGCTTTGATCGTGATGGATTGGATCTAGCATTTAAATATTTTACTAGTACAACTTTAACTATGAGACTAGCAGGAATAGCTCAGATAAATGCTCATATCACTGCATTCAATGAACTTTGCAATAGTGAAACTGTCGCTGAAGTGGAACAAGTAGGCCATGCATTGGCTGCTTGGTTAACAGAAAATAATATAATAGCTCATATATTTGGACCAAATTTGCATGTAGAGGTTATTAAACAAAGTCATATTGTACTAAGTTTCTTAGCTATGGAAGGTAGAATTACATGTTCTGACATGGATACTATGTGGCAAGCAGCACAATTGAAACACTGTGGTCGCCCAGTATATGATTTATTGGCACCCTTAGTAAAACATTTGGCTCCAACTCCAGTTTTACATTTATACTCTTTATTAGGAAAATTGGAGCCGAAGGACCACACGGAACAAAGTTTATTCCTAGCATCTGCTTTGATAAAATTTATTTGGACAGCAGGTGGTTCAGGGTATCCAAGAGGTTTATCTATAAAAAACAGGGAAATTTTAAGAGGTAATAGTGGTATAGGTGGTAGCAGTACTAGTGATCCTAGTGGAATAGATGGAAGTAGTCCAGATGAAGATGAAGAAGAACCTAGTCCTGCTCCATCTGAAGGACCTTCACCACGAAAACAAGCAAGAGGGGATAGTAGTGATGGAGAAGGTAAGATAATACCTACCCATATATTATTAATATTTAATACTTTTGTCTTTAAATGTAAAACATTTTTAAATGACTTGAAACATAAATATTAATAGGTCCGTTTAAAGCAAAAGGTGTGGGCACAGCAGTTGTACAAACAAGCTCGAATGAAGGAGAAGATCCTGTAATAGAAAAATCTGAATGTTTTACTGAATCAGTAAAAGATTCCGTATGTAGTATACAAGATGATATAAAAGAAAAACAAAGTGGGTCAGATGCAGAAGCAGACACAGAGAAATCAAATACAGAAGAAACAGTTGCAATAGAAAAGAGAAAGAGGAAAGTATTAAGAAAACGGAAAAAACCTCAGAAACGTTCACTAGTTACTGCAGATAAGACATTAGAAGGCATTGTTAATGAAGAAAATAATGTGAAAACTAAAGAATTAATGTTAGATATGAAATATAGGCCAGAGGACGTACTAAACAGTACTTTGGATACTGGTGGATTAGTTTCTATAGATGATCCAAAAGGTGTTGATGCGCTGGATCGTGTAAAACAGCAAGCAATGGCTTTAGATCCAAGTGATCAACAAGTTCCAACAACAGCAACACTCCTAAGAAGAGCTAACAAAAATAAATATATGTCATTAGTAGGCCATAATGTAGATCGAGCTCCTGACTCAGCAGATACTTCGCATGATGAAGATGATAGTGACGTAGCTGGTGTTCTCGGAGCACCTGATGGACCTGGAGCTGTTATATCAGAACTTGCCGGTCTAGTACATGCGACTGGACCTACATTCTTGCCTTCAGGATTAGATGAAATGCTTTCAGATGAAGAAGGATCTTATAGTAGCAGAATATCTAACAAAAGTGAAAAAAATATGGCAGATTTTGATGGAGAGGAAAGTGGATGCGAAGAGGAATTAGCTCAATTGGCTGCGCGTCATTTAACAGCTATACAAATGCAGGCTTACCATCCTCATCATTCTCATCCAACAATGACTATTAGGCGATCTGTTTGTCGCCCTCCACAAGTGAGAAGTATTCGCCAAACGGTAACACGTGTTAGTTCCCAATTCAACTTGGACACTGTATGTAAGCCTGGAAATACGTTATTATGGGATCTTTTGCAAGATGATAAAATTGGTCAATTAGGAGAAGGTTTAGCTCTGGAAGCCGAGAAAGCTTTATGCAATCTTCTTTGCTTCAATGTTGATCGATTAATACCTATGAAATTCATAGAAGGTTGCTTAGAAAATCTTGCAACTAATCGTTCTGTGGTTGTATCTTTAAGATTATTACCTAAATTACTTGCCAGTTTCCAGCAATTTGGTGCAATGGATGCACATACGATAACAACGTGGGCCGATCGTGAACGTGGAATGATGAAACACTTCTTTAATAATCTGAAAACATACACTAGTACAGGGCCAAAAAATAACTTATATTCCCATCAAACAGAAATACAAGTTCGACTACAGTTTTTATCT